TGCCGCAAGAACGTCGTGCTCATCTGAGGCCACGAACTGACGAACCCGTTGGGAGCGACCTTAACCATGTTTGGCGTGAGAAGTCAGCGTCACAGCCAAACATCGGCATTTCGCAAGGTCGAAACCTGGTGGAGCTTCATCAGGTCGGTAAAATCATACAAATGGTCTCGGGATCATAGTTCCATCAAACGGCCGCATGTCGGCATTTGAACCCTGGTGGAAGTGGGGCAGTAGCACTTCAGGGGAAAATGGGGATGTAGAGACGACCTGTGTCTGCTCGTTTTGCTGCTCCCTTAACCTGTCCAGAGCTCGCTGCAGCTCCTCAATTTGCGGTAATGGAGCCAATTGGGGTTGTTTTCACCGTGCGAGCCCTCCCTTCTCGGTTGCGGTTCAGGACAGTCCGGAGATCGGATTCTCCTCGCCTCGGCGGCATTTGGCCGACTCGACACATGCTGACATGGGCATGTGAAGACGACGGGTTGAGGGGCACTTTCACGACCCTCGCGGTGGTACGAACCGCCCCGCGAGGTGTGATAACCTCCGCATAACGATCGGGATTGCTCTGCTGGTGGTGATCGGGACCACCATGCCCAGCATTTTTGCTTGGGTGTGCTTGCATTGGGCATGGGACAGCTCGGGTCCACTCTCTCGCCAAGTCTCAGCTTGCTGATACCCTGCTAGGGGCCACCTTGGTATTCGCCGGCCCTTGGAACGTAGGCTTATTTTTGCCACGTTTACCCTTCGGCTTACGCGCTGCAGTGCTCGCGGCACGGGCTATCGCCTTTGCGCGCTTTCGCGCAACCTGCAGGCGTCTTTGGCGGTTGTACGGCTCTGGCTGTCGTGGATGACATGCCTTGGTCCAGACGGTCCAACCTCTGGTTGACTGTCTGGAGAGTATTATCAAACCCTCCAGGTAACTCCTGATGGCAGGGTCAGTGCGGGGCTGTTGGGGTATTCCCAGCAGCATTTTGCGAGATTAGAGGTATGTTGGAAGGAGTGTCCCTTGGGCCAGGGGGACTCCTTCTGCATGTTGGTTCCCTTGCTCAGGTTCAGATTGGCGGGCATTGTAGCTGTAAGACCAGTAGGTCAAGATTCTCCTGATGAAGGGTAGACACTAAATCAGCCCTCCTTCTGCGCCAAACTGTGATGCTCGATTTTGCAACACGAATTTTACGTGTATAATATCAATGACTTTCATGCACGTGAAAATAGAATATAAGAAAAGTAAAATAGCTGTAGAGGGAGTTTTTTTGGTTCGGACGTTAAGATAGCAAGGCCTACGTCCACTGGTTTGCATTGAATTAGTGGGTGTCAGGTCGCGGTCGCGAGCTGACTTACATCAGACGAAAAAGTCAAAGAAAAGTTTACAGAGAGAGATTTCTGTTTCTTCTTTTGTATGTAAAATGGCCGAATCCCCTAATGAAGGGGTCTCCCTATTTTATACTGAATCGAAGCGTATATCATCACTAAATCCGGGTTTGGTGTAATTGTCAGTACATAATCTGGGTTATGTCCCATTTCCCTTTTTCCAAGCTGACATCGCACGACTTGTTGCAGGAGAATTGACGCGTGTGGGCTCCACATCACTGGCAGGTCTGACGTGTGCGTGCTGCTCTGACGGGAGCAGGTCGCCCTTCACGTGACTTTCCCACGTCAGCCCTTATTTCCTGGGGCACAACACTCTTCAAAGAGGGGTTAAGACACTGTATACAGAAAAAATAAGAGAAGCACTTCTACATGAAAGAGACCGGCTAGTGATCTCTAAGAACTCTTGTAACCTGTGTGATTGTTCCCTTTGTATGTTCCCTTGACAATCGAAGAGAGAAACTTCCTAGTAATATACCTTATTTAACTTTGTGACATGGAGCTCGGCATATAATTTCTATTTTATCAGATGGTAGATGTAAGTGTTATAAATATACAATCAAGAAGAGATATTTAGATGAATTTGAGTAAATCGGAGGGGTGGATTTTTTCAATATTATTGAGTTCCTGGACTCATTTGCAACTAGGCATCAAGGTATACTTATTTGTATCATTCTTCATTGTTTTTAACCAGTTCAAGTTGGTCAAATTTGAACACTTTCATATGTTTATATATTAATAAACGTACCTACATCAACTTGTTTCAATGAAAATGATACAAACATATTTGACTTTTAAGTCTTTGGTTTTTAGTGGATTCCTTTGAATACAACAAAGCAGGCTGGCTAATCTACATAATCACTCTTTGAAAAAAAAAAAAAATTATAATAATACATAAAGATCCTACAACAAACCACCTTTGATCACTCCGAAGGGTATTAATTAATATTATCATGGTAAAGGGAAAAAGAAATTCGAATCATGGACCATCATCCATGATCACTTATTAGGCAATTTGCAGGCACGGCACACATAAACTGAGATATATAAGCAAACACATATAACATCTTAATAGGCATCAGGATTAATTGGCCTGGAGGTATGCTTCAACAGCCTTGACCATGACGGCTGTCTTTCTTTTGCCTTGTTAATTAAATTCTCTGCTGGGACATCGAAGCCAGGTAAGGGGTGAGAATTTGACAGTGGACTTGAAGATGGATCCTCCATCAGAAGATGACACCCACTTGGTCTCATAATAATTTTCTCGAATTTGTTAGCTAACATGTCACCTTCAAAGATGGTATAGCAGTGCACGTAGTTTTCTTTGTCTAGTGCATCAACCTTTTGCTTCATGTAAGAGTCGTCTACGTACCAAAAAACAGTCAAGAGTTAGTGCCATTTTTCAAGGAGCAACAAGTTTTTACAACAATTTAGTGAATTAACTAACCTTCCACAAGGTTAACTTTCCTGATGCTTCAGCCCTCCATCTCCTCGATGAGTTCGGCACTCTTAATAGCTTGTGACATAATCTGGGGAAGAGTTGATCAGCGTCAAGGACAGAGGCCTTGAACATCTTGGCTGGGGGGAGGACACAGCGACCTCAATTTCACCGGTGACAACTCCATGATTACCTAAAAGTACAAAAGTTTAAGTAAGTGAAAATGAAAAGGAAGAATGAGAAGTGATTACTGATAAGTAAGGAGATTTGATTGGTGGAGATGTTAGAAGTGGAGGTGCTATTTATAGGCGGGGTTCAGAATTCATGACACAGAGCTGAATATTTAAAATTATCTTTTTTTTAATCAGGTAATCAGACTTGACTAGCTAATAAGAATATGTGCTTAAAAAAATCTCTGACCGGATAGAATTTCTAATATTAACACCAGAACAAAAAATTTTAAGTAGTATAAGTACAAGCAGATGGAAATCTCTGCTGCGAAATAAATTTTACTATAGGCAGAAGATTAACATAAAATTTCTGTCATTAAAGTGTTAAATGTCCATGAATTGTTGATCTAGACTGTAAGTCTGGAGAATGCAAGCCAAGACTTGTCTACTTTTATTGAAATTTAATAAGCTTTACTTCAATAATTCAGGCATACTCAGAGGACTGATAACCTACCAAAGTTTATGAATAATAAAAATAAGTCTTGGTGATGTATTTGGTTCATATGGGCCCAATACATTATCAGAGATTTGACCAGGTTTGTGTTTTGATCTTGCAAATTGAATGGACGTGTGTGAGTTAAGCTACTACAAGAGAAATAATTAATTAGAACTGATCACTACCAGTGTGAATTGTGAACATGTTTCATGTTCTCCAACTGACATTAACCATTTAATAAGATATAATATTCAACAGAACGTGAATTATAAAATAGAAAATTTTTCTGCCCATTCAACTTCTACGATTATAAATTAGGATTAGGAACCTTGAAGTCAACGATTTGGCTGCTATGAAATAGAAGGTGAGTTTCATTTTTCTTTCCTCCTAAACTAATATTCCTTTTTAAAAAAAGAGTTTTTTATTATCATATGAAGTATGCTGCGCAAATGGGGCTTTATAATTAATAATACTGCCGTGGTCCAGCGATTAAACTGTGAATATTGATAATTTAGGATTCAAGGCACCCATCAACTGAAAGTGATGGCTTGACTCAACGATGATTTTGAGGAAATTTATGGTAAACTGAAAACAGCAGATCTAGACTTTTTGTTACAATGAAATATTACAGACCACTTGGTGGTCACAATCACCATTCACCAAGCTTATTAAGCATAACTGTAAACGACCTTCTCAGCAGAATAAAGTTGACCTTTTTAATGGGTATTAGGATTTGCAAAAAAGTAGGCTTCAATGGCCTTGAATATTCCTGGAGCCTTTTCTTTCCCACCCTTGATTTGTTCTTCTTTGATCTCAAAGTTATCAACTTTGAAGCAGTTGCGGATGCTTTTGCAGATGTATCCACCGTCTGGAGAGGGTGCTACCTTGGTCTTATAACCAATATGTGAATCCTTTTAATATATTACGAATAAACTAGTTACTTTAATGCCATAATTTTTGCTATAGTGAAGTCTGAAAAAATGTTGTTCATAATTTTTACTTGGTTAAGTACCTAGGGAGAAAAGAATACTGAAGAAAGCAAGAGCTGGAGAAGAATAGTTCTCATTTGAAGAAACAACAAGCTTGACTGAAAACTGGCTGCAGTGAAAATCAGTGAGGGCATCAATATATTAATTTTATTGTTTCCTTATGTCATTATCATTCTTTTGATTGAACATGATCTCATCATGACATTTTTTTGTTGAAAATTTTCTACTTTGATTGCAAATCCCTTTCATCAAATGACAAAAATTATTAAACTAAGTTTACTTATCATAATAATCTATCTTATTTTAAATTTCATATTTGCAACTATGTGAGATAATGAATTTTAGTGAATCCGAAGTAAAATTAATTAAATCTAGAGTTCATTGACTTCATTTGTAAGTAGATTTTTCACAGATTGTGGAGAGATGGATAGAGAGGCGCATGGTTTGAAAAACGCCTCCCTGATCTTGAATTCGAGTTGTACCAAAGGGTGACCAATTACCATACCCGAACAAAAAGTTGGTCAGATTTGAACATTTTCATATATGTTTAATAATATACTGGATCAACTTGTATTCAATAAAAATGATACAAACATATATGAACACTCCTTTTAAGTGGATTCTCTTACTACAACAAAGCAAGGCTTGGCCTAATCCTTACAAAATCACACTCTTTGAAAAGAAAAAAATACATAAAAATCTTATAATATCAAGCCACTTTTGATCACTCCCAAGTCTTAATAATTAACATTATCATGGTAAAGGAAATTTTGATCAAACCACACTTGGAATTATGGACCCATGATCCACTTATTTTAGGTAATAGGTAGGGCAAAGCACTCATAACACTTGAGATACGCAAACTCATATAACATCTTAACAGGCATCAGGATTAATTGGCCTGGAGGTGTGCTTCAACAGCCTTGATCAAGGCAATTGCCCTCTGTTTTTCGTTGCTAATAAAATTCTCTGCTCCCTCAAAGCCAGGTAAGGTGTAGAATTTGGCAGTTGACTTGAAGATGGATCCTCCATTGGGAGATGACTCCCACTTGGACTCGTGACAAATTTTCTCGAATTTGTTGTCCAATATCTCACCTTCGAAGATGGTGTAGCTGAATGAAAAACTTTCTTTGTCTAGAGCATCAACCTTCTGCTTCAAGTAAGCGGGTTTGTCGCCTGCATATCGAAAAACAATCAAGAGTTAGATCTAATTTTTTCAAGGATACAAGTAGTTTTTAGAATAGTTTAGTGATGGTTGTGGTGTAAACTAACTGACCTGCCACAATGTTAACTTTCCTGATGCTTCCAGGCCCTCCATCGCCTTCGATGAGTTCGGCACTCTTTATGGCTTGCGGCATAACCTTGGGGAAAATATCATCAGCCTCAACGACAAAGCCCTTGAACATCTTGGCTGCTGGGAGGGCACAACTCACCTCCAATTGATCAGTGATAACTCCCATGATTACCTTAAAAAGTAAAAAAGTTTTAAGTAATTGAAAATCAAAAGGAAGAATGAGAAGTGATTACTGATAAATAAGGAAATCTGAGTTATGGAGATGTTAGAAGTGAAGGTGCTATTTATAGGCTGAGGATACATAATTTCAAGACTCAGAGCTGAATAATTAAATGGCTTAACTTCTTTATCACCTAATTTTTCTGACTTGACTAAGAACATGCCTTGCCAAAAACTTTTCGTGAACCAAACAGAACCTTTTAATATTAACACAAGAAAAAAAAAAAAAGATAGTGTCTTTGTAAAAGTTAGCAGTTTAAGTGCAAGAAAATAGAAATTTCTGGTGCACTATATATTTTACTTACACAAAAATAGCTTTAAATACCAGATGAAGCACCATTAATTACATAAGTTTAAATTAACCTACAAAGAAGATAGTATCAATGGTAAGTTCTAAACAGTGCTGTTGATAGCAAAACTGCAGTAAAAATCTCTTGATGGTGAGCCTTAAATTCTGTCCCACAAAAGTAGTTGGCAACTGGGCGTGCTATTTTCCTATGAAATTTTTTTTCAAACTTTCCAACTTGGATAGATAACTTATGCCACCAGCAACCTGACTTATTCAACTATGGCTAGCTGCTTTGAGAATTTTCTATCAGCTTATCTGTTTGTTGCTCTCCCTGTATGAATTTTAAATTGATGACAACGAAATATAATAAATTTAAAATGGATATTCCAGTTTACTTTGATAGCACGACCTCAGATGTTACCGAATATAAAATTAAGCTGATGGAGAATAAATGAATAATTTATGCTGGCCGGGATTCGGTTCAATCTGTTTTGAGTGTTTATTTGTTGTCTAGTTTGACCTTTACTTCTTTGTTTTCTCCGAAAGCCTAAAATTTATTCAGAAAATGACAGTATATAAAAGTATTGTTACATAATTTTTTTCTGAGCACTAATTTTCTACTGGGAAAAGCCAAAAATGTGTAATGAAAAGTCCCAAACAAAATTTCATTCAGGATTTTCCTGAACCCACCAAACGTTTTGACAGCTTCGTTAATTGCTGATTATTCTAAATACCATTATTTTGTTTGGGCCCTTGCCAGGTTCATTCAAAAGTAAGGATGTAAAAGAACTCGGCCTGGTTACCAAAAAAAAAAAAAACTCCGCCTGGCCCAGCACTGAGCATAAAATATACCTGGGTTTGGGTATGAAAAATCAGGCCCAGATGTGGATATATTTTATGAAAATTTGAAAATTACAAATAACCCCTGATCAAATTACGTGGACACCTAAGAAATTTTATATAAGGTAACATTATGTGGAACCCCCTGAAAAAACTACTAGCCCCCATACATCTAGTTAAATTTTCAAAAGTACCCTAATCATTTTAACCAAACCTAAGCCTAAAGCCCAGCGTCACAAATCCCACATCAGAAACACATTAGGGAGGTCTTAGGCTTATAAGACCATCTCCAACCTTTTGATGTTAAACACTATTGCATCTCCAACCTACTAAACCAAATATTACACTAAAAAGAATATTTCTTAGAATATTCTCTTTCTTTTTATTTTATTGTAATAATCAACAATTAATCTATTTCACTCATTATTTTTGTATATATTAATTAAATATAGGGAATGATATTTTTATTAAATAATAATTACTTTGAAAATTATACTAATTTAATAAAATTAAGCATTTATTTAATCAAATAAACATTACATTTAATATAGAAAAACATTACATAATATAAAATGATACCAAAAAAAAAAAAAAAAGATGTATTGTCTTTTAATTTTAGTGTTTTTAAATTAGTGTTAATTTTTATTTTGAGTTATTGTAATTTAATATTTGCATTGAATAAAGTTTTGTTTTTAATTTTTTATCATTTTTTGAATTATATCATTATTATGAATTTATTATTATAAATATTAACATAAATAGTAATCAAATTAAATTAAATACAAATAATCAAATTTGGTGTGATTTTTTGGGTAAAATTTAATAATCCAATTAACTTAATAAAATTTAAAAAAAAAATTAATAGTGCTACAATGCCACGCCAATTTGGTGTGGCGTTACAATGCTACGCCACTTAGCGCTGGGTTGGAGCAAAAACCCACGCCATTTTGGTGTTTTTTACACCAAAATGGCGTGGGTTAGAGATGCCTTAAAGGAGAGTCCCTCCACCTAATGGGTTAAACTTTTAGATGTGAAACTCTCAGCTCGTGACACCAGACAGGTCCGACCTGGGTGTTGAAAACCCTAGCTTTTTCCTGTTTGTGCATTTTTAAAATTGACCACAAGCCATGATGATAGGTACATGTATATTATTTCATTTATTAGTTGTCAAGATTATAAGAATAAGTTCACTGACCATCGTTAACTTGTAAAATTTCCGAAATACTGTTACTTATAGATGGTGAAGATCAGAGCATCTCATCTGTAAACTATGTGTATTAACCAAACATGGCCTTCTGAAAGTACGAAGTGCTAATAATCCAAAAGACTGAAGTTCAAGTCCTCCTTTCATTAAGAACTCAGCTTAACATAAATAGCACACTTGATGCCCAAATTTGTTTTTTGTGAAAGCATTCAGGAATCTGTCAACTTAACTACGATGAAAACAAAACTTGGAATTGCTTCATCATTTTTATCATCTACAGAACTTGCCAAAACTGTTTTATCTGCTTGTAACTCTTCCATAAAGGGTCATCTTCAAACTCAGTCTATAAATAAGGCCTTAATACCCTTTATCTCTCACTACACAATAACTCTCCACAAACTATATCATTAGTGCTCTTCTTTCCTATTGTTCTCATACAAACACAGATCATAATGGGTGTGTTCACTTATGAAATTAATGGAGGTTGTTACAAAAATCCCTCCAACGAAGATTTTCAAGGCCTTTGTCCTAGATGGTGACAGTCTTATCCCAAGATTGCGCCACAGGCCATTAAGAATGTTGAACTCATTAAAGGAGATGGAGGGCCTGGCAGCATCAAGAAGATTACTTTTGGCGAAGGCTAGTTTACACCATAATCACTTAAACCCCTTATATGTCATATTTTGCTAACCTCTTATATTTCATATTTTGCTAGTAACATTTTCATCTAAAGTAACAAGTGCTTGTTTTACTTGCTTTGTTCATTGCAGGAAGCCAATTTGATTATGTGAAGCATAAGGTTGAAGCTCTAGACAAAGAGAATTTAACCTACAGTTACAGTGTGATTGAAGGTGATGCATTGATGAAATCACTCGAGAAAATTACATATGAGATCAAGATAGCATCTTCTCCAGACGGAGGATCCATCTGCAAAAGCATCAGCCAGTACTATACCATTGGCGACTTTGAGATCAAGGAAGAGCAAATCAAAGCTGGCAAAGAAAAGTCTTCAGGATTGTTCAAGGCCCTTGAAGCCTACCTTTTGGCAAATCCTGATGCCTAATAAAGTCACCAATATTAGAATGTTGAGAGACTGTTTTGGTTAATAAGGCTTGGCGCCAAGTGGCTTGTAATTTTCCACTGGACTAAAGAATCTGTCTTTTATCACTTTACAAATAAAAATAAACGGCCATTGCTACCCTAACAAGCACTCAGAAAAAACCTGAAGACAGTACTAAAGATAATATTACAGGCCACTTGGAATCATAATCATGGTAAATGCAAGTTGGATCAAATAATATGTAGAATCCACTTATTATGGTAACTGACCCGCTGGTTCTCTTACAGATTTCTCAAAGTGTCACCTTCGATGGTGCTGGCTGTAGCATAATACAATTTTTTCTTTGTCTATTGCTTCCACCTTGTACTTCATGCAACTGGATTTGCCTCCTGTGCTGAATATTGAAAAAACAGACAGTTAATTATGCAACAAATTATAAGACCTCTATGCCGATCACTGTGTTCTAAACTAACATACACAACGATTTTGTGGCCCTCATAGCATTTAACAACCAAGAAGCACAAAGAAATCAAGAAATAAGATCAACATATTGCATATTTGACAACTTGTAAAATTTATTAACAGGGACTAGAGGGGTTAAAGATTAAAGTATCCATCTGTAAGCTATGTGCACCGCAACTATCCAACGTGTTAAGTTGATCAATTAGAAAGAACGAAATAATATTAATATTCAAGTTATTAAGTGTTGTCATATTCATCAACAGGTAGTTGTGAGATAATGCCAAATTTTCTTGGGCATCGTAAAACATGAATACAGAATAGAGTAATGTTACGGACACTAAATTTTTATACCGAAGAAAATAGCAACCAGTTAGACGCGACCACGCTAGAGTTTTTTATGAATGAACGGTCATCCAATATTTATGGACGCCTATCCATATTTAGGCCAAATTTTTTTAGTTTAAACTATGAACGAGCATATGGACGAGAATCCATTTCAAATGAATAGTCATCCAATAATAGTAGACGGTCGTCCATATTTTATGGATGGCCGTTCATTTGTGAAATATTTGTTAACGTGAGACGTGGCTCGTCTGATTCAGTGGACATGTCGTTCGGTGTAAAAATTCAATGCAAAACGTTGGTGTCCGTAGCATTTTTCTACATAATAATATATAACTGTTTGCATGCAGTAGTTGATGTTTTCATGATAAGGGCCATAAAGAAAGAGCAAATAATTCATTTTAGGTAGAGTAATAAAATATTTGTTAAATAATTTATAGTTCCTTAAGGCCGCTTAAAAACAATCCAATATAAAGATTACATTGACATGTTGTTTTGTATCATTGTACCAGAGCTTATCTGTAAAGGAACACAACTTGTGGAAGAAAGGACTAGAATAAGATTGGAAATATGAGAATAATTCATATTAGCAATAGGAGTATCATTTTCTATCATAACTAGAAAATTTCTACATGTACCAAGGTTACGAAACAGGACGCGTATATGATATGAGAAATAATGTTAGAAGTTGAATTTGTCTTACATCACCAAGTTGGTGGACTGTTATAGTGTGTGTGTCTATATATATATATATACTTCATTCTTCCTTAAGCTAGCTTTTGGGTGTGAGTTTTACTCAAGCCCCATATTGATCTATTTCTCTTTGTCTCTGTGAAAAGAAACTTACGAATAAATTATGTTTATTATTCTTAGAATAAAAATTATGGTGAATTATAGAGTAATTAAGTCATATTTGGGTTGATGAACTATTAAGTTGCAATATGTTAACTTTTAAATCTTGATCAGCAAAAATAGCCGCCTTAGAAATTTACCAAAATTCAGTTTTTCTGGATTTTTTCCATGAGATGTATCAGTATTTATACATGGGTTATTAAGCATTTAATAGAGAATAAGCACAAAGAAAGAAATAAGATCAGCATATTGCATTTTTACCAACTTGTAAAATTTTATTAACCTGAACTTACGAAGATTATCTCGATTTATTCGTAGTTTCTTTTGCTTGAGCTTAAGGTTGAATAATCGTTCCCAAAAATTGGAAATGAAAATAAAGTAAATACCAAATACCTAGAAAGGAGGGTTAAAGAAAATCCATTAACCATTAAATGTGGAACTCGATTATTTGGTAATGAAATTTGGACAGACATAGATGAAGGTATCCATCTGTAAACTATTTGCAGTGCAACTATTAAGGAAGTTCTAATGACCCAATGACTTATTTTCAAGTCCTTTCACTTGGTTATTAATAACTTTGTTTAACATGGACTGCCCATTTTGATGCCCAAATTTGTTCTTTGTGCAATCACTCTGGAATTCCAGTTAACTATTCAGAAAAAGATGCAGGTTATATAGTACAAAACTTGGAATCAATTTATGCAATTACAGAAAAATATTACTTGAAGAACTATTGATGTTATCTAACCACATTGGAAGTATCCAATAAAATATGAAAAAGTTGCCTAAATTTTCTTCCATCTGCCAGAGAAACTGCAAACTCGAGTGCATAAATAAGGCCTCAATTTCCTTGATCTCTCACCATTAAAGCTTTCTAAGAACCAATCAACCTTCCTCCTCATTTTCATTGTCCTTGTTTCAATTATCTCTAAACACAAAGGTTATAATGGGTGTGTTCACTTATGAAATGGAGGTGGTTACAAAAATCCCCCCAACTAAGATATTCAAGGCCTTTGTCCTTGAAGGTGACAGTCTCATCCCCAAGATCGTGCCACAGGCCATTAAGAATGTTGAATTCATTCAAGGAGATGGAGGGCCAGGCAGTATCAAGAAAATTACTTTTGGCGAAGGCTAGTTTACACTATAATCACTTAATCATCTTATGTCATATTTTTGCAAGTAACATAAATCCAATTTAACAAGTGCTTGTTTTACTTGTCTTTTGTCAATTGCAGGAAGCCAATTTGACTATGTGAAGCATAAGGTTGAAGCATTAGACAAAGAGAATTTGACCTACAGTTACAGTGTGATTGAGGGTGATGCACTGATGAAATCACTCGAAAAAATCACTTACGAGATCAAGATAGCATCTTCTCCAGACGGAGGATCCATCTGCAAAAGCATCAGCAAGTACTATACCGTTGGCGACTTTGAGATCAAGGAAGAGCAAATCAAAGCTGGCAAAGAAAAGTCTTCAGGATTGTTCAAGGCCCTTGAAGCCTACCTTTTGGCAAATCCTGACGCCTAATAAAGTTACCGATATTAGTATGTTGAGAGACTCTGTTTTGGTTAATAAGGCTTGGCGCCAAGTGGCTTGTAATTTTCCACTAGAATAAAGAGTCTTTATTGTATCACTTCACAAATAAATATAAGAAAATAATAATAATAATAATAAATTCTTGCGGTTAAGCTATACATATATATATGTCACTAGAAAACGATGAGTGTATTGTCTTGAGATTATATCAAGAATAGTTAATGTAGATCAAACTGGGAACTTGATTAAAATATCCAACAGAATAGCAATTTATTGAGACACTCACCTTATAATTGGTGCAAATTTATTGAACAAACTCTAGCTTTCAAGCTTCGACCAGACATTTAAACCAAAACATGGTGAATAAACAAAAAGAAAAGAAAATATCACAGTATGACAGAATCCTGAATAGCAACCAATTCGAAACTGGTTAAGTGAACTTTAGGCATAGAGGTCAGGGTTTGCCAAGAGATGTGCTTCCACAACCTTGTACAATTCCACTGCTTTTTCTTGGCTTGCCTTGAAGACTTCTTCTTTAATTTCATGATCACCCTTTGTATGGTATTCACTGGCCACCTTACAAACGCTTCCACCATTGTCAGAAGAAGCCTCGAATTTAACCTCGTACACAATTGATTCAAGCTTATCCCCCAAAGTGTCGCCTTCAATCAAAGTGTACTTGCACACAAAGTCCTCTTTGTCGAGTACGTCGATCCTGTGCTTCACATACTTGTAGTAACTTCCTGTCAATCACATTAATCAAATTGCCATCAGTTCATCTTAATGTTAAAAAATACAAAGCAATACGTTCATTAAGAAAAATTCATTTCACAGGACTAACCATCAGGGAAGTTTATTAGCTTGATGCTGCCAACGCCTCCATCGCCTTCGATTAACTCAATGTTCTTGAATGATTGTGGCACCAGCTTTGGGAGAAGATTCTGGGAGTCAAGGATGAAAGCCTTGAACATCCTAGATGGAGCTACAGCTGTTGTAGTCTCTGAGTTAAGATGAAGGACACCCATTTCTTTTTTAGTGGAGAGAAACAGAAATGCACTCGCAAAGAATTGAGAATTGGCTTGAATGCAGATGGTTTTTGAGTTTGTGGAGATGAAGAACAACTGGAGGGTATATATAGAGTTGGAAGTTACTTAAATTTTGTGTACACAATTCAATATGTTCAAAGCACCCATTGTGGACTGGTCACTATTCTAGAAGACAGAGAATTATCTCTTCAAAACTGACCAGAAAAATCAAAACTGATATTCCAGAAGTTGAATGCTAAAATATGCCCTATCACAAGACTGAAGTCAACCCAATTATAGAATAGTTAAAATTTAAGATTTTCCAAATTGAAGATATGTAACACTGGACCTGAAAATTCTCATAGTTACTTATCTTTTAAATAGTTGAGCAAGTGGCCTACTGTATAGAGGAAAAGACAACAAACAGCAGACCACAGACATTGATGTGGTTTCTAGAGTTTAACTACTGGAAATTAAATGTGAATAACTTGAGTTAGTTTAGTCCTGTTGAAATAGAAAAACTAGTAATGATGTAGCAGTTTTCATATCTTCATGTTCCTGCATGGCTGCTATATTTTCGTTATATTTTTAGTTTGTCTTTCTCATTCTGTGATGTTACATTCTGTTTCTAGCTGAACTTTAACTCTGCAAAATATGGACTCCAATATCATCACCAATGCCACCAAAGCTAGCTGAACAAATCATGATTCATTAATTCACTGCAAATTTACTAGTTAATGACTTAATCAAATGTGATGTATATATGCTGATTTACCACTCTTTGCCTTTAGAATTTGAATTTCTTTCAAAGATACCAAAATAATTAAGGAACTGAAAGATATTGCCATTGCTACTTTGTTCCTCTATTTTGTCAATAACTAGGGAACTGTAAGGGTATTCCATAGACTTTGAAAGTTTGGCATCTCAAGTCATACATATATTATTCAAAGTGAATAATATTCAGACCGTTTATACTGGAGTGGCTAGAATTCTGGATTCTGATGTAAGTCGTCTGATTTTAATATTCAATGACCAAGAAAATTCTGGTATTTATTATTTTTGTAATAGTTAGCCCTGTTGAGAACCGTCTAATTTTCTAAAATAAAGGGGCAGCAAACACATGAAGTTGGATTACTTGGATGTGCAGTTGGAATTTCTAGAATTTATCCACCTCAGTATGAAAATTTTGCAGGGGTTTAGTCCAAGTTTAAAAGAAAAACCAAACTACCACTGGGTGATAAGTGGGATAATAGAGACTCTTGGAAGTATTACTTAAGAGATTTTGAGTTTGATTCTCTTTGAGGGTTTACCCGATCATTAACTTCAAGGCTCTGAAGGATTAGTTGGGATAAGAAAAAAGAGAAACCAGTAATTTTGTGGCTGCTTGTAACTTGATGTTCTTTTATACAATGTATTACTAAAAAATTAAATAGTGATGCTATTTGCATCTAACGATCCAACAACCTAAATCTAATTCTTTTGGTTATTAATTTGTTTAGCATAGCCCGTAAACTTGATGCCCAAATTTGTTCCTTCTGCAAGCATTCAGGGATTACGTTTCACTGTTCATTAAAGAAAAGGGAGGCTAGAACAAAATCTGGAATCATTTTAGCACATTATCTGTCAGTAGAGGACACTGAATTCCACAAAAGGTAATCTTGGAACTTGGTTTATAAATAAGACACTAAATTTCTTGATCTCAAACCAGAACAGCTATCAAGCAACCAGTTAATCTTCTTCCTCATTTCCTTTATTCTCCTTTCAATCTTTTACGAACACTTAAGTTATAATGGGTGTGTTCAATTATGAAATGGAGGTGGTTACGAAAATCCCCCCAACTAAGATGTTCAAGGCCTTTGTCATTGATGGTGACAGTCTCATCCCCAAGATTGTGCCACAGGCCATTAAGAACGTTGAAGTCGTTGAAGGAGATGGAGGGCCTGGCACTCTGGCAGTATCAAGAAGATTACTTTTGGCGAAGGCTAGTTTACACTATAATCACTTAATCCTCTTATGTCATATTTTTGCAAGTAACATAAATCCAATTTAACAAGTGCTTGTTTTACTTGTCTTTTGTCAATTGCAGGAAGCCAATTTGACTATGTGAAGCATAAGGTTGAAGCATTAGACAAAGAGAATTTGATCTACAGTTACAGTGTGATTGAGGGTGATGCACTGATGAAATCACTTGAAAAAATCACTTATGAGATCAAGATAGCATCTTCTCCAGACGGTGGATCCATCTGCAGAAGCATCAGCAAGTACTATACCGTTGGCGACTTTGAGATCAAGGAAGAGCAAATCAAAGCTGGCAAAGACAAGGCTTCAGGAATGTTCAAGGCCATTGAAGCCTACCTTTTGGTAAATGCCTATTAAAAGTACCAATATCAATATGTTGAGATTGTCTGTTTAACGGTTAATAAGGCTTGAGTGGCTTGTAATGTTCCTCTCAAATAAAGAGTTTGTGTTTGTTTCATTTTAAAATAAAAATAAATTGTAATGTTTCGGTGTTTTGCCTTTAAATTTATGTCATATCATATGTATTGTAAAACAACAGAGTATATCCTCTGTTTTATTTTTAAATTCATGTTATATCATATGTATTTTTAACCTCAACTAATCTCTCGAAACATTGGAACTATCGGTCGAATAAGAATTTTAGTAGGAACCATCATGCCATATGTATTGCAAAACAACCGCAGCTTGAATTTGGTGCAAATTTATTGAATAAACTTTAGCTTTCAAAAGCTTCAAGTAGACATTTCAATTACCAAAACTTAGGCACAATGAACAAGAAGTTTGACAAATGTCTCCACTTAATGGGCAAAATAATAATGATTGGGCCACTGACAGAACAAGCCCAAAATCACTTTCCTAATCAGAATGTTTGAGCCCTAACTGAGCTCCTTTTCTAACCCATAAGTGATCTTCGGCACTTTGAACATAGTTTTTTAATCAGGGCAGGTCCAGCTTAGTTTTGGGTCGGCCATCCATTTTTTTTTTTTTAAATACTAATATGCATCATTTTTAAATTTTGGTTCACACTAATAAAAATATTAATGTATATTAGTTTTTATTTTTTATCATGAAAAAAAATTTGGATCAATTATTAATTTTAATCAAAATTATAGAGAAGTGATTTTTAGCATCCACCTACTTAATCAACGAGCAATGTATTTAATCCTACCAAATTTCTTATATCTCGATAATATTTTTTGGAAAACTAGTTAAAACTTTTGACAAATTCAATACGTTTATTTAATCGGTTTAGTAGATAAAACCATTCATTTAGTTTTGTTCCATTTTTACCCCTCCACAACTTACCTACCCTCACTCTAGCAACTCTAGCATTAGAGGCATTAGAGTCAGTCTAGCACTAGAGTCGCGCTCCACTTGACTTGAGCATTAGAACCTTTTTTTTTTTTTACAATTATTCTCCACATTATCCTTAGAAATTAAATATTAAAATTTCTTTAAACTAATAGATAATTAGCTAATCATATTTTTAAAAAAATAAAATAAATGTTTTTGAAAAGGAATAGTAAATGTATATAAAATTTATTGTAACTTCGTAAAAATAAGAAATGAATAAAAATATAATATTAATATTATATATTTTTTTCACTTCAATGCTAGAGTTGATTAAATCCAGAGATGGCAATGGGTCTCATATTTTTTGGTATCTGGCCTTGCTTGAAAAGCTCGGGCTTTACCCTATGCCGCGGGCTTGGGCTTGGGCCTAGACCTGATTTTAAGACCCGACCTCAAGTACGCCGGGCTTAGGTATTCTTCCGGCCTAGCCCACCAATTTTAGTATTAATTATACTAACTACCCTTATACTATATATTTAATTACAAGATTATCCTACATATATATATTCATTATTTTCAAACCCTACATGGATGATAGATGCACTTTGTGGAAAGTTATTTATATATTTGGTGAGTATTGAAAATAATTAATATTTAAAAATTGTTTTCAGAATTAAAATATAAAAAAATTGAATTTTATATATTTAAAAATTCACATTATAAAAATGAGCGGGCTTGGGTCGGGGCTGAGGTTCAAAAAAGCCTATCGAACTAGGCTTAGGCTTTACTTATCATACCCGTGATCGGGCTGGATTGGGCTTGGGCCTTGTCATGAGTCAGGCTTGGGCTTGGCCCAACAGGTACCTAGTCTCGGACCGACCCATTGTCATCACTAAGCATTAGAGTGGAGCCACTTGGTGCTAAAGTGAAGACGGCAAAAGTAGAAAGAACTGATAGAAGATCTTATTTACTAAGCAAATTAAGGAATTTTATTTCTATTTCTTACAAAATAATATATATTTAAACTTATAATAAAATAAGGGTCTTTATTTTTTTAATACACCCATGTTTTAAAAATTCTGTGTTTTTTTTTTTTTTTTTCTAAAACTTTGGGTTTGAAAATTATGTTTTAAGGATTTTTTTTTTTTTTTTTGAAGGGGGGGATGGAAGTTGGAATCAATTGATCCTAAATTGAATTATTCTTTTAGAAAAGATCCATTAAAAAGTCTTTGGTGCCTCTCACCCCTCACTACCACTGCTTTAGGTCGACGTCGTCCCCTGTTTTTCCATGGGTTCTCCAATTCTCCTTCCTCTTTAGCTTTTCCTCGAATGGATTTTCCATTCTTCATCGCTGCTATCTTTGCATTTTCAAGTTCCTTTATTTCTCTTTTTTTTTTTTTGGGTTCTCGAGATTATAATTTTTTTATAGCTAAACAATTTTTTTGTTTTACTTGTTTCTTTTAGTTAAGGATCCCCGGCCCTCCCTGTAGTGGCGACAGGGAGAGGATGAAGAATGGATTTAGAGGGTGGGAATGAGAATGTATAAAACCTCCCTCTAGTCAGGTATCCCTTGAATATCCCTCAATGAGAATCCCGAGGATATATGTATGGAGAACGAGTTGTATTTAGAAAAAAAATCCGTGTAAGGATAAAAATAATAATATCCAAAATATGCATATAAAATGTTATGCAGGATCCAAACTTATAATTTAGAAACTTTAAGAATTTATCCGGAAATTACACAATCAAAACATA